TCCGTGCACTGCTCTGGTTCGCCAGAAGCGGCTTAGTCATGCTGGCCACATGACCCGGAAGCTGTACACCGGCTCCCTCTGCCAGTAAAGTGAGATGAGCACCGCAACCCCAGAGTCATCCGTGACTGGACCTAACAGTCAGGGGTCCCTTTACATTTACCTTTACAAATCACACCTGACATTCCCAAGCGGCCTTCCCAGAAGCCAAGGTAGTCCACTGCAAATGCGTCCTCATGTTAATATGTTGAGTCAATTCCATCCATCAAGGACAGTTTCATTTGAGAGAATTAAAAGCAATCAAGTAATCTAGTCCACATTTGTCTACTCTGAATAGCAGCCTGAAACTCCAAGAGGTCTTTTCCAGTCAAGTTACTGCAGAATTGTTTTACGTGAAGTTCTGGAAGCTGAACCTCTGACCTTCTGCCTGCCTCTTACTGTGGCTGAGCAGTAAGCCTCATATTGTCTATTCTAATTTGGATACTCAGCACCTGACTTGAAGCTGGGCAGACCCTGTGATCTTCTGCACACAAAGAATATGCTCACCCACTAAGCTGTTGCCTCTTCCCACCTGTGGAAAGGTAGATGTATCCCTGAGGAAGTGGCATAAAATTATGGATGAGCCTAAGAGGATGGAATCCCCGAAGAGGACATAAATTATCTGGGACAATTTATTATCCATAAATTATCATGCATAAAGGCAGGCTTGTGACATCTCTGTTATCGTTTGCATAAAGCAAAATCCAAACCAAATCCATAGTTAAGAACATAAGAAGAGCCTGCTGGATCAGGCCAATGACCCATTTATTGTCCAGCATCCTGTTTTCCCAATGGCCAACCAGAGGCATAGGTGTAGCCCACAAGCAGGAACTACTGTAAGTGCAATAACACTCTCCCACTTGCCTGATGGATTGATAGAGTTTACTTATATGCCACTTTCCCACAATGAGCAAACATCCAAAACACAAACACAGTGGTACCTCGGGTTACATACGCTTCAGGTTATAGATGCTTCAGGTTACAGACACTGCTAACCAAGAAATAATACCTTGGGTTAAGAACTTTGCTTCGGGATGAGAACAGAAATTGCGCAGCAGCAGCGTGGCGGCAGCGGGAGGCCCCATTAGCTAAAGTGGTACCTCAGGTTAAGAACAGTTTCAGGTTAAGAATGGACCTCCAGAACGAATTAAGTTCTTAACCCGAGGTACCACTGTACACAAAATACAGAGCAATTGGTCAGCCATTTGAAAAATGTCAAAAATCAACAGTTTAACAAACACAGGATAAATTCAATTTTAAAAACTGCACCAACAGGGTTTAAGCATATAAATACAAAGCAAAACTAGAGCTAATTAACAATAAAGTTTTTGGTACTGGTCTTCCTGTACTCCAAGGAACCTGCCTTAAGGAGAGAAGTTGTTCTCACCAGGTTGGGGGACATGCAGCTGGCTCCCATATCGTTACTCCAGAAGAGGTTGATGGCAGCAAAAGACAAATCTTGGGGAGGGCACTGATGGTCAGTCTGTTCCTCAACTTCTTGGAAGCACCAGCTGCTGGCACAGGTCTTGCTGTGATTCCCAGCAGCTGGCATTGCTTACAACAAGATATGCATTGAAGGCCACTCTCCAGGATTTTAGAAATGGGACATGCCCAGTCTTGCTTGGAGAACCTGGGGGTTGAAGCAAGGACCTTCTGCATGCAAAGTAGATGCTATCCCACTCCATCCTTCCCTGCCTTAAAACAGTCGGGCCACTGCTTTATCTCAGAGCTTCTAGCAATTCAACATGTTCCCGGGTTGCATCCTCTCCGTATTACGCAGTCATCATTTCTCCTTTGGCTGGTACGTCTGGCAAAAGCAAAGGATAAAGATGCCCCCCTCCCCAGCACACACAAATGTTGATCGCTACCGTCAACATCAAATCTGACTGTTCCCGACAACTCCTGTGATACGGCAACCTCGGGGACTGGAAGCCACATCTGTGAGTCGATGTAGTAGCAGCCATCTGTATGAACTGCATTATTTAACGGCGTTGGCACAGATTAACATTTGCTGTAACCTATGGTAATGGGCTCAAGGGGCCTCCCATGTCTGCTGCGAGATGGCAGCTGATGTCTCCTGTTCCGTCCTCAAAACAGGATGCTTTAATTTTTAATGGAGCACATGTTCAATTGGCTGTACAAACAGGCTAATCTGCAAAGCATGTGCTCGGGAACAAGCCAAAATATGCAGCCAGAATAACAACGCCGCTTCGCCGCGGCGGGGAGGGAGATGAGGAAGCGTCCCTGCGTTGTGGGCGCCTCCGGTGACTGAGGCCGGCAACCAAGAGGAGCAGGCGGCGTGTGTCGCCAGCAGAGGTCCTGCCAGCTAGGGAGGAAATCTTCGTAGCGGCATGAGCTTGCGGGGTAGAGTTGACAGGCTTCAGGTGCCGAGTGTGGCGGCATCTTTGTGGAAAGATGCAGCCAAGGCGCAACTGGAAATGGTGTGGGATGTTTAAAAACACAATCAAACCAACAATTCGTGTTTCGCTAGATAGGCACATGACAGGAGCTGAAGCTCATAGAGTTGTCCTGTAAACTTGCTAGAGAGAACTCTGTGAGAGACACTCCCACTGTGCCCTGACAGCAGGAGGGCAGAGCTATATATTCTCCAACCTGCCTGAGTACACCCTCTTTTTTCATCACTTTATCGCCAAGACAACTACGTGAGAACATCTGCTCAGACACCATTTTAAGCTAAACTTACGTATGTCTTTGTAACCAAATTACCATTTTAAGCCCGTCTGAACAAAGCTGCTGTATCTGTTACTCTTCAGCAAGTATTCTGCATAAGTAAATGTTATTTTTTACCATTTACAAGACTGTTGGTGTGATTGTTGTTTTATGGGGAGAAGGGGGAAATACCAGAAGAACCCAGTCTACTTTAATGTATCTTGGATTACTTGGACTAAAAGGACCGAAACTAGCATATCTAGGCTTCCCTTTATGCTGCAAAGCTGTGGCACTCTGCTGAACTCACAAACTTGAGGAAGGAAGGATAATATCTAATAAATATATCCTCTCCTACCATCTATTTGCATCCAGTTCAGGACTGTAATATTTGCAGGACTGACTCTCCCCATATAAACCATCCCAGATTCTGATAATCATCTGAGGTCCTTCTTTATGTGCCTCCTTCACATGAGGTCTAAAGGGTGGCAACATGAGAACTGGGCCTTTCCTATAGTGGCCCCCCATTTGTGGAACGCTCTCCCCAGGGAGGTTGGCCTGGCGCCACACACACACACACACACACACACACAGCACCAGGCAAAAACATTCCCCTTCAACCAGGCCTTGGGCTGATTAATATTCCACAGCCTTTTAAGTGTGTCTGTGGGAAGGGGGGTTACTCTTTTGCTGTTTTGTTTTGTTTATTTTCATGTTTTACACTGTATTCAGTCAACTGCCCTGAGATCTTATGATGAAGTCTATAAATCTAATAAATAAAACAAACAAATAAATCCCAACAAACGGAACTGAGCACACTGAGACTCCATCTGCACTGTACCTTTAAAACACTACCATGCCACTTTAACTAGGCATGGCTTCCCCCAAAGGATCCTGGGAGCTGTTACTTGTTAAGGGTGCTGATGGTTGCTAGGAGACCTCGATACCCTTCACAGAGCTACCATTCTCCAAGTTCCCTGGGAAGAGGGACTGACTGTTGAACCAATCTGCGAACTGTAGCTCTGTGAGGGGAATAGGGGGTCTCCCAATGACTCTCAGAATCTGTAACAAACTGCACTTCTCAGGATTATATTGAGGGGGGGGAGAGCCAAGACAGATTAAAGTGGTGTGATCCTGCTTTAAATGTATGGTGCCATCCACATAAACAGCTGGAGGGAGCTGGAAGCAGCCTAGTTAGTATCTTCTGGGTTCAATCAGGCAGAGGAGAGAGAGAGAGGATAGAGAGAGATTTCACTTCATACAGTCTCCTGACAAACTCCCCAATCTTCAACAGTTGTACATGCACAGCACTCTAGAAAACATTTGGAAAGAAGAAGAAGAAGAAGAAGAAGAAGAAGAAGAAGAAGAAGAAGACGAAGAAACTGAGATTTCCTAACCCATTGGTTCCATCCTGGAAACCAGACTGCATTTTAATGCAGAAGCTCCAAAATCCAGAATTTTGGAAGCCTCCCTCCCCTAGTAATCCTGCTGAGTTCAGTTGCAAACACATAGGGGGGCTTTTGCTTGCTATTTCATTCTTTAATTAGCTTATCACAAGAGAAAAGAAGGGGGGGAGGACTGATGACTAAACCCGCGCTGATCAAATCAAATATTAATCGCACATAAACTGCAGATCAAAATCAGCTGGGGGTTTCGACGCATGAAACAGGCAGATAAATCAGTGTGGCTCTTTTCCCCTCAGCATGCGGCTCCCCTTTTCTCCATCTACTGCCAAATTAGAAACTTCCTACGGAAAGCATAGCCTGTTTCTCCCCCCACACCATTATTCCACACTCCCCAAGTACAACATTAACAAGACACTAGAAGTCTTCCCTCCTCACTCCCACGACACGCACTTGCTCTTAAATATTGAAAGTGGGGGGGCAGAAAAGAAGCTGGTCCTTTAAATCTTCCTAAATCCTCGTCTCCGATTGGGTTCATTAATAAACATTCTGGTTTTGTTACAGAGAGTGACATATGGCATAATCCTCTAACAGGAAGAAGTATTTTGCATTTTATTGTAGAAAACAAACATGCAGACAGGTTCCAACAGATGGCTTTTTTAGCTTCTGGGAGAAAGGAGGGGTGTGGGAGCTTAATAAGGCTTGAAAACAAGATTCTCTCCCCCTTTTGCTCTTCCTCAAGAATAAATTTTAAAGAATCTGGAGTTGTTCTGCTCCAAGCATTTTGGGCAAATAGGAACATAGGAACGACTGTTCCAACTAGCTCAGAATTTTCTACACTGGCAGGCTGAGGATCTCCAGGATTTCAGACAAGGAGTCTCTCTTAGTGCCACCTTGATGTGCCAGGGATTGAACCCAGCACCTTCTGTATGCAAGGCAGATGCTCTCCCCACTGAGCTACGGACCTTCAAATCAGTTTACACTGTCTAGAAATGGTAAATACCAACTTGCCTAGCTCCTCTTCTCCTCCATACACACATGTGGTGTTTCCCTCAGCTAGTGCTCAAACAATAGGACTTAACCAAGTTAAGGGGACTCGATGAAATCCAAATGTTTTACCCCAGCCCCAATTTTAGCCAAACCATGCCCTCTCTTGTACCTTAAAGGTAAAAGGTAAAGGGTAAAGGACCCTTGGACAGTTACGTCCAGTCAAAGGTGACTATGGGGTTGTGGCGCTCATCTCCCTTTTCAGGCTGAGGGAGTTGGCGTTTGTCCGCAGACAGTTTTTCCGGGTCATGTGGCCAGCATGACTAAACTGCATCTGACACAACGAAACACCATGACGGAAAACAGAGCACACGGAAATGCCGTTTACCTTCCCGCCGCAGCGGTACCTATTTATCTACTTGCACTGGCGTGTTTTCGAACTGCTAGGTTGGCAGGAGCTGGGACAGAGCAATGGGAGCTCACCTCATCGCAGGGAATAGAACCGCAGACCTTCTGATGGGCAAGCCCAAGAGGCTCAGTGGTTTAGATGCGGGTGGCGCTGTACCTTAAAAACAGTGGCTAAGGCACCATTGTAAAATGTCAGCAGCACTCTGCCGTATTCCTGCACCCATTGCTCCTGCTAGAATTTTTCTGTCTCAAATCATGCCAGCCCTGCCTAGAAAGAGATGTTTTTCATGAGTAAGTCTTATACTGCATTGGGCCCTTGGGCCACCTCATTGCACCGATTCTCCAGGTTTATCTGACGTTGTTGTTGTTGTTGTTAACATTTGTATACCACCCTTAATCCAAAGATTTGAGGGTGGTTCACAAGAGAAAAATACAAAATGACACAATGCTTAATAAACCAAAACAAACTTATAACTTCCTTCCCAACAAACATTTTAAAAGCCATAGAATGTTAATCAGCTGGTTGAAAACGAACATTTTCACCTGATGCCTAAAGATATGTCATGAAGGCACCAGGCGAGGCTCCCTGGGGAGAGCATTCCACAAATGGGGAGCCACTGCAGAAAAGGCCCATTCTCGTATTGCCACACTCTAGACCTCTTGTGGAGGAGCCACACAAAGAAGGGGCTCAGATGATGATCACAGCGTCTGGGTCAGTTTATATGGGGAGAGGTGGTCCTAGAGGTATTGCAGTCCTGAGACATATAGGTAAAAACCAGCACTTTGATTTGGACTTGGAAACTAATTGGCAACCCATGCCATTGGGCTAGGGGTGGTATTCTACACTCAAGCTGTCTTGCCCCAGTGAGAAACCTGGCCACCAAATTCTGCACCAGCTGAAGTTTCTGAACCATCTTCTCTAGTCCTGCCCAGTCACTGAGGCCAACTGCATAAATGGAGAGCAGTTGCACCAGCCTCTCTTGACATATGGCTTGAGTTCAAGATGTGCTGCATGGGGGGAGGGGAGGGGTCACCTGATATTATGGTGTTGTCAGCCCCTGCCCACCTGCCAAAGTGGGCTGCTACGAGTTGACGACCTCAGGATCCAGCTGGCTGCATGGAATAGATTGTAATTTCAGTGCAATTTTATATGTCGACTTAGAAGCAAGCTCTCCTGACTTCATTGGGACTTACTCATAGGTGTGTATTGTATTCTGGTTGATTGGTAAAACCCACAGGGAAAGGACCAAGGCTGGTCAAATCTTGCTGGACCATGGACAGCTCCAGGTGAGAGACTTATCCTGACAAAGGTTGGGAGACAGAGGCCTTTTATACCTCTGCCTCCAGGCCACCTCCTCCAGGCTTGAAAGAACTTTGGAGCTGTAAAGTGTGGTGTAGTGGTTAAGAGCAGTGGACTCATAATCTGGTGAACCGGGTTTGTGCCTCCGCTCCTCCACATGCAGCTGCTGGGTGACCTTGGGCTAGTCACACTTCTCTGAAGTCTCTCAGCCTCACTCACCTCACAGAGTGTTTGTTGTGGGGGAAGAAGGGAAAGGAGATTGTTAGCCGCTTTGAGACTCAACTAGGGTAGTGATAAAGCAGGATATCAAATCCAAACTCTTCTTCTTCTTCTTCTTGGACCAACCCTCTGGTCTGAAGACAAGCACTCCTCCTCCATTCTATAGCCATCCTCCTAGTGTGCTCCCTGTACTGCTGGACTGTTGATGTGTAGTGGGAGGCACCAGGTCCTTCAGAATCAGTGGAAGCTGTCCATGAGACTCCAGCCCTACAGGTCTTGATGGTCTAGGACAGTGTTTCTCAACCTGTGGGTCCCCAGATGTTGTTGAACTACAACTCCCATCATTCCTAGCCAGCATGACCAGCGGTCAGGGATGATGGGAGTTGTAGTCCAACAACATCTGGGGACCCACAGGTTGAGAACCACTGGTCTAGGAGGTTCATCTGGGTGCTTCTGTCCAACCGCCTCAGGTGCAATAGTCTCCCTATCTTCTGCTGTCAGCTCTGAGCCCTGACTCAGAACTGGCTGCTCACCTGGTTCCCCCGCACATCTGACCCTGTGACCAGATCACAGAGGTCATGACAGTAAGTAGATATTGTATTCCAGCCTTGGCATTCTGCAAGCGTAAACCAATTCCCACAATTGTGACACGTTGGAATGTATGCAATCTTGGCTTTGGTCCAACGTAAACCTTGTCCACTTCCTCAGTGTTGTATTTTTGTTGTTGTGTACCTCCCTCCCCCCCATGTTTCCTTCCTCCTCCTTGGGTGTTCCATTCATGCACAGTATGCACCTAAAGTGTAAGCTAACAAGTCCAGCTGTACTTTGAGAAAAATACACGGCCACTCTCATCCAAAAAAAAGTCCATTAAGTCTCAAAAGCCTGACGTTTTGAAGCATAAAAGCCTAATCAAAAGAAACCATGCCTCAGCTCAGCCAGAAATGGGGAAAATAATATTCCATTCAACTTTATGTGAAAAAAGAAAATAATTGGAGCAACATTTGTTTGAAATGGGAGCAGGGAAATGGCTGTTTGCCATCCACTTCCAAAGGAAATCATGATTTTTTTTTCAAGGAGGGGAACCAATTTTTAATATTTGAAGAGTGTTTTTATTTTGGAACATGTTTTTCTGTATTTTCACAAGCTGCAGGCTGAAAAGGGAGACGCAGGGAGAGTGGGTAATGGCGTACAATCATGGCTCAGGCAAGCCGCGGTTCTAATTGGCTCTGGGAAATAATGAGGTTTCAACATTTTTCTCTGATAGTTTTGCATTCGTTTGGCACCCCACAGGACTAAAAAGAACGAGGGTTGCCTTCAGAAGTTATAGGAAGCAGAAACAACATTCCATCCCCTACATTTTTACAGCAACGATTGCAACAAAATATTGTAAGCTGTGGGGATGCTTCAAAATGTCTCATCCTTCACAAGACTCTGGGTTTTGGAGCTCCACACAACAGGATCATGTTTTTAAAGGGAAATGATACATTAGCAACCCTCTATGGTTCAGCTATGGGACGTCGGTGGCGCTGTGGGTTAAACCACTGAGCCTTGGGCTTGTCGATCAGAAGGTCGGCGGTTCGAATCCCTGCAATGGGGTGAGCTCCCATTGCTCGGTCCCTGCTCCTGCCAACCTAGAAGTTCCAAACCACGTAGAAGTGCAAGTAGATAAATAGGTACCGCCCCGGCGGGAAGGTAAACGGAGTTTCCGTGTGCTACTCTGGTTCGCCAGCTTAGTCATGCTGGCCACATGACCTGTACGCCGGCTCCCTCGGCCAATAAAGTGAGATGAGCGCCGCAACCCCAGAGTCAGCCATGACTGGACCTCATGGTCAGGGGTGCCTTTACCCTTTACCTTTATGGTTCAGCTGGTAGCCCCCATCCCCAATTTTGGACAGAATGTTGAGCATGCCCCAAGCCGCATCCTTTAGAGCACAATACTGTGAACATTTACTCAGAGTCCTACAGAGTTTAAGCGTGATGTGTTTGCTAAAAGAGCTAAAGTAATCTTATGCTGCATGAACCAGACCCTCCAAGTCTCCCTATTTTCTAGGGACAGCCCCGGATTTACAGAAGCCTCCCCAGTTTCTGATTTCATCCCACTTTTCCTTAGGATGACCCTATTTTCATCGGGGAAATGTTGGAGGGTATGGAGTTATGTGACCCCTGAGGCAAGGAGATACAGTGGTACCTCAGGTTAAGAACTTAATTCGTTCTGAAGGTCTGTTCTTAACCTGAAACTGTTCTTAACCTGAGATATCGCTTTAGCTAATAGGGGCCTCCCGCTGCCGCTGCGCTGCCACCGCACGATTTCTGTTCTCATCCTGAAGCAAAGTTCTTAACCTGAGGTACTATTTCTGGGTTAGCGGAGTCTGTAACCTGAAGTGTCTGTAACCTGAAGCGTCTGTAACCCGAGGGACCACTGTACAACCTTTAGAAGGCATCTGAAGGCAGCCCTGTATAGGGAAGTTTTTTAAAATGTTTAATGTTTTAGTATATGTTGGAAGCCATCCAGAGTGGCTGGGGCAACCCAGATAGAAGTGTGGGGTATAAATAATAAAATGGCTGTTGTTGTCATTGTTATCATCATTATCGCCATCGTCATCATGGAATAAGGATGTCCCTGTTTTTATTGGAGAAGTGTTGGAGGACGCAGTATCAAGATCACAAGACCTAGTTCCTGTCTATTCCATGCAGGCCAGAGTGAATCTGGGGAGCTGTGCCCAGTTCTGGTCACCACATTTTAAGAAGGATACTGACAAACTAGATCACATCCAGAAAAGGGCCTTTGTGGTAGGAGGAAGCGCAACTAGGTGAGGACAGAGCAACTCAGAAGGCCCTCTTGCCGGTCCAACTCAGCTGTGCCAACTTAACATCCCTTTCATCAGGCTCCTGTGCAAAATTCCATAGACCTATGGACCACGGCACGGCATTTTACATAAGTAAAAATGGCCGGTGGCCACTGTACTGCCATTCACCCACTGCTAAAATGTAACCAAGGAGGTGCAAAGTGGTGGTGTTGGTGGAATGAGGTGAAATGGTGCAGTCACTTTGGGTCAGATGT